GTGATAGATTGACGGAAGTGGAAATGTTTCGAAAAACAAAGGAAGATAAATTCTGATTAAAAAATAAAGGAAACTGAGAATGAAATAAATTTTGGTTATGAATGATTGGGTTGATTGTGTTTGTCGAACACTGATAAACGCCTTAATCGTTTGGTTCTCATATCATAATAATCTTGTATTTAATCATTGCTGTAACGCACTGAGATTCCACATCAAGCAGAACATTAATTGTTGCCAATTTTGATCAATCAATTCATCATTCAGTTCTTTACCCATTTCTTCATCTCAGTTTTATTCATCCACTCATATCTGTCAAGTATCAGAAATTCTTTCCGACATTCTTCAAAACGAATCATCTATTCCAGTATCAGTTGTGTGCATGTTGTTATAGATCGGCTTTATTCGAGCCCACTTCTCTCCTAAAGTTTTCCTTTCACAGCTTTTATCAAACATATCAGAGCATGGTCATTTTTCACTGTTATGGTCATTTTCGGGAATTTCGGTTTCGAGAAAACTTCGATGGTAACAATCAGGTATAGCGAATCTACGAGCAGAAAGACCACTTTGTAAACGAGAAGTATTCGAACGAAATTCGTGCAATTAGTCGACTCCAGTCCTTAACTAGAATGACATATTCGTAACAACAACATGACGGCACGAAATTGAATTCGTATGCGTGCTTCGTTCAGCATAAGCCTCCAATTTCAGCTGAATAAAATGCGAAAAGTATATTCACCATAAAAATTACCAGATGGTAATTACTGTAAACGAAAATCTCTCGCATAATCCTCTAATTGTAGTGTTTGATGGTTATTGTTATCTGCTAAGTGGTTGTGACTTCGATTTGTCGTCGTCGTTTTAGAATGTTTAATTCACTTGTTGCTTCCAGTTTTAATTCATTTGAATAAATATCGCGTTTAACAATTCAATTATATTGCGGAAAATAAAAAAGTTTTCTTGGAAAATAATTTGAGATTCGATGAAAATGAGAAACGTTTCATTAAAGAGATAAACAAAACGTATCTCTTGCATTTATTATTGCATCTGTTCGGGATATAGAAACTGATTTGTGCAGATTGTTTCAAAAGATTTGATTTCGTTTATCGATATTGTAAAAATGTTCTTTTTCTGTCTTCTTCTTTCCACATACTCAACGATATTATTATGATATACGTAACGAATCATCGCGTCTCTTCATCTCTCATTCATATCAGCAGCATCGTCCCATATGTAATGAACAATAATCATTCATTTGTGTATCCATTACCGTAATTTTATTGAATCTGCTCACTTCATTTCATCTTTATTATTATTGGTTAAGTGCTCGTCTCGTTTCATCCAGAAGCTTTTTTACTCCATCATTATTATGCGTTTTGTGTTAATCGATTAGTCGAAGGAATCTTCGGTTTTAAACTATTGGCTGAGATTATAACATTGCTCTTTTTCATACGAGAAGTTTTGGTTTGTCGATGGAGTGGGAATTTGAATGTTCATCAGTGGACAACACACAGTCAATGTTGCGCCTAATCCCACATAGCAAATAGGATATGCTTAAGAAAAACGATTCTTGATAGAGCGCTCTATAATGAATCTAGAAGGAGTAAATGGGTGAATAGATGGAGAAAATTAAATTGTAATCAGTGTATTCATGGCGGATGCAGTTGATACTTTATTGATGAGATAATTAAGACACAATTTAAAAGCGGTTGATTGTCAAATTTGTTGATATGTGACAAAGTGAGCTTAATGAGCTGAAATCTTGATGACGTAATGATGTAAAGAATGTTCGATTAAATTGTGCTGATGCTTCATTTGTTTGTTGGTTGGTGAGGAAGTGGGATTAGGAGGAGGCAGATGGATGGACATTATACAAGGACATGATCCTAGCTTGCGCATGCGCAACCAGTGAATAGCAATCCAGTCAAATCGCTTCTTCCGTCCAAAACACTTTGGCAATAACCGAAATAGCGAATGGATCGGGTAAAACTGCGAACGACTTGTTGTGTTCGTGCATGCATCTCATAAGACCGAATGACTTTCACCTCATCCGTCTTAATCTTCTGTTTTGAGTAACCATAAAATAATTCGTTCTGTTCAGTTTTCTTAGTAAATCTCCACGTTCCTGATCTGATTTGACGATGGTTTTTCTGTTTATGATCATCAATCCCCTACAACTTCATAATCTCGAAAAACAGTTGATTGCACAGATCCTCCTCAGATTGTGACTACATGACTTGCGTTAACTGTGGCATAACTTTTGCTTACTTCATGGACCTTCTGTCATAACCTCACTTATATTATCCGATTATATGCAAATAGAATTAGCCGGTTTTGGTCATGTTCAGTTTTTTGATGGAGAGTGTATGCAAGGAAGTGTTGTGAAATGAGAGAAATATTTCAATAGAATAACACTGGTAAGGTTAGGAAGTGAGTGTTTACAGATTTGTTGATTTATAGTTAATGACATCAACTTATGTGCAACACGAAACTTTTGCGTTGATGATTGAACATTGCAAAATTGGCTCATTCTTTAGATGGTATTCAGTACTTCTGAAATTATTGCATGCAGTCAAAGAGGTATGAAATTCTCTAAAAATGCTGCATTAATTTTCGACGGTATTTGTTTTGATAGTTTAATTGATACGATATGAAATATTATTTTATTTTTATATCGACGATTCAGCAGAGCAATATTTTCTTAACATAATCAAACAATGTAAAGATGAAAATTCAAGATTAGCAACAAGCAATCTCATATTTTGTTATTAATGTTATGATTATGATTATGAATGTATATTATGTTGAATGTATCGTATCGTCTCACTATTAATCATGTCGATGTGTGCTTGTTGTTGTCTGTTGTAACATCCATTACAAAACATCTACATCATAAATTCATTCGTTCAATCTACTTACCCTCCTATTATATACACATTTTCCCATATTATACATCATCCCATCCAGAAGGATCGCTTATCCCAATGACTCGTCCCTTTTCAGCTCTTTCGTAATTTCATTTGACAATCAAACTGATACCTGTCCATTGATAATTATTGAATTAATCCCTCGTTTTTGATATTTTAAAGAATTCATATAGAGAGCGTTGGTATAATCGTTTCTGTTCTATGAATTTGATTATTCATCAATAACTTCAAATATTTCTTGTAAATGTAGGTGTTCAGTTGTTAGCAAACTGTTTGAAAATCCCTGTGTAGTAGTAGTATGGATTCATTACGAATGTTCAAACATCCGAGTACAGAAAGGATTTACCAGTGCTCTTTACAAAAAGGGTTTACTAGTGCTCCAATAGTTTCTTAAATTTTAAGTCACAACAAAGCAAAGCATTCCAGAGGAATTCATTATAAAATGATACGTTGCCAGAATTCTAGTGATCAAAGTAAATTATGCAAAAAAAATAAAGATTTCGAAGTAAAACTAACCAAGTTCTGAAATCATGTTGACGCGACGTATTTCGCTATCCTTGATTTGCTATCCTCATTCCCATATAACGTTTAACCATTGGCGATCCGTAAAAGCTACAGCTTTTAAACAGTTTGTTTAGTAATACTTCTCCCATCAGTAAGCAATTATGCATTGTAAAGAATGGAAAAACTATGAACAATATTTTGTCGAAACGTTACTGACACTATTGTGTATGATGAAACATGAAAGAGGTGATGTTATGCTGAATGCGAATAGCAAATAACAGATTGAATATACAATTGCATTAATGATAAACTTTCACACTCAACTGTCAGTGAGTTTACCGTTACACGTAGATACCGCCTAGGTATTACGTCTTTTCATGTGACCGCTATGGTGCTGAACGAAAAAAAAACAATGGCTGCACTCGTCAGGAAACTATTCGTTCGCTTTCGTTAGACCGCTTGGAGACCCAGTCTGTTCTTTTTGTATTCCTCCACCAGCATTTGTCTCACAACTAATTTTGTTATGGTGAATGATGAATTTGCTAATGTATGCCTAAGATTTTATTTCAAAAAATTTCAGTGGTCAGTATTAGGGTAGAGTTGTTACAGAGGCGAAAACAAGATAGAAGGATACCGTTCACTGGATATGAATGAATGAACCTTTTCATCATGAATTTATCTTATTAGTCGATAATAGGATTTATGATATGGAATGAAATTGAAGCACAAGCGTGTCAAATGATAGACTCGATGAATCATTAAATTAAGAACATGATGATAGCCTACGAAAAGAAAGATGCTGGTCTGATAATGTCGCCGCACAGGTAATAAATGAATGAATACGCAAAATGGGTTTCTTTCATCCGTCATCAATCCGTATGGAGCAGTGTGCAACATGCAATCTTATTCCTTAAAAGCATTGATCATCGATTCATCCGAGCAATTCATTCATCACTTATATCTTTAATATCTATCTAACGTAACTCATCGCCTTCAACTCATCCTCACTCTTTTCATTCTATTCGTCCGTTCATTCGAACGAATTTAACGTACACTTTCCCACACATCAACAGCCATTCTTTTCCTTTGTTGAATTTCTATTACGGACAGCAATAATGCTGCTGCTGCTGCTGCTGCTGATGTGGCCCTTGCTGCTTCATACTGATTGGCTAATTGTTCTGAATGAAGGTCGTCTTGCTGTGCTAATAATCCAAGTGTGCGATCATGATATTGCTCATATTTTTAAATAGCAATCGTTGAACAAAACATTTTTTTCTGAATTAATGTAATTGATTCAATTGAGTAATGAGTGGTAAAATGTATATTTCACGCTTATTTCAATTAATTATTTCAACACATTCCAGATGTTGCTTTCTCCTTCTTTCTCTGATCATTACGTTGTTTCACTTGTCTGCAGGAATTCTTCATTAGATTCCGCCTAAGAACTTATCGGTCCATTTATACGTTTAACGGTGTTTCGTAATTCTGTAGGTTCCGCTCCTGTTTTCATCCTTTCTTATAACAGCTGTTTGCACTGTTCGTTTTTTTTTCAATGTTTCGTGATTGCGACGTATGATCATCATGAGATCATGCCCATCGAGTTGTCGCTTGCAAGCTCAATCGTCAGATTCCAGTTCATTGTTTGGTTGTTGGCTTCGAGTGTTTTTGAATTTTCGATTGAATTTGGATGAATTTTTAGAAACGAAAAGCGAATTGGAAGAGCACACTAGCAGCGAGCATTCAGGTGGTCATGTACGTACCACTCAGGAGCAATGTCCTCTGTGCCCCAGTAAGTCCACACAGCTTCGTGTTCATCTCGCTGAGGTTCGTTCTTTTTCCTGATACAACTGTTCTTTTATCCTTTTTTTGATATGCCACATTTTATTACTTTTTATTCTGTTTTCTTCCGTACTGTTATGCTTTTGGTAAAACAAACTGAAAATACATGAAATCTAACCATGATGGCCGTTTGCAATTTACGTCAGCATTGTGATGACGTTCGGATGTGTTCGAATTTCGAGGGAATTACCGCTATTCTTGTCGCTCTATACCAACTAATTACAGCCATCAGTCCTTTTTTCACTACCAACTTTTTTAATTTTCCTCAACTTACTAAAAGAGTTGAATCGTTATCGTCACTCTCTCTCTCATCATTTTGTTTCCATCGAACCTGAACAGTTTTCACGAACTTGTTAAAGTTGAGGTTTTAATTGAATGATGACTGTTATTGTTTCCGTATTCAAGCTATGTAAAGAAAAGCCTCTGGCAGTGTGACCTAGTTTATTTTTTTTTTCGAGTTAAAACTCTGCTTTATGGTATTCTGCTTAATCGTTAACAAGTCACTGCTACTTGTCACTGGTTATTATTTTCGTTGGTTCCATTCAAATTTGATTACATTCAATACGATACTCGAAAAAATCATGAATAGAATTCAAACAACTGTGACAACAACCGATGATGCATTATTGCGCACAATGACCAACATTCTCATTACAGTTTCAGTTTCAGAATATCGAACGAGCACATTATTTGTCAGACTTCGAGTAAAATTTGAGTTTGTTCGACTTTGCTTATCCATATTCATTTTCGATATATTTGTAGTAATTTTTTTCATACTTTATTAACTGGCGTGTGCAGCGAATAGCAAGTGAATGAATTATAGTCACATTTATTTTTTGAATGATGGATGAATTGAAATTGAATTTATACGACTATAAATGATAAATATTTGCAAACAAGCGAGCAAACAAACAGTCTTAATTGTTGCATTAGAGATAAAACGCTTGCGACTGTAATCCGTAGTTATTTAATGTTGTTGCTGCTTAAATAAGCAACACAGACACATGCACATCGCTAATCAAATACCCACATGAAATCGAATCGAAGGCAAGGTAATGAAACAAACCAACAAGCAACCTACTATGTAACTCAGCTCAGGAAAGCAGCAGTGCATTGCCGTTTCACGCAGGCGGCAACACCTCTGTTCATAATGAATTCAGCAACAGCACAAAATTATCAAAAACCTGATTTTCGCTAATGAATTCGCCTCGTTCACGACGATTAATTTGCACTCAAATAATTGTTGTATTGTGCAGCGCTAGTAGCATTGGTTGGTAGTAGTATCAGGCAGCAGCCAACCAGCCTCTCCTCCTTCCATCAACCTCTTCATTCATTTACTTGCCTCTTTAATTTTCATTCGTTCATTTCAGTTATTATCCAGACTTTAATTTTTTATTTCAATTCTTATCAGCAATTCTTTCTTTTTCGTTTTCTTTTCATTTTCCTCTTTCTTCCATTCGAAACCAGTAATCATCTTATTAAGTACTTATTGGTTCAGTCATTTTTTTAAAACATCTTTTTGTTCACGTTGAATCATTTTGATATGCATAACTAAGGAGTTTGAAGTTCAAGTTCTTAGTCTGCCTGCCTCCAGATCAGTCATCATCTATAGAGCACATCATACTATTCAGCATTCATGCTGAAAATATCTCAATACAGCTGCCTAGTGTATCTGTAAACCAGATTCGCATGTAGCCCATTCATTTACTCGTTGTTTTGTCTGACTATTTTTCATGTCAAACAGAGTGCACTTTCGTTGTGTGCACTACTGATATTGTAACTGAAGTGGCTCTAAAATATCACCCAAGTGATGGAATAATTTCAGTTTGGATAGTTGATAAAGTTCTATTCGCCCATTAATTTTTGCGTTTCAGGAGCACAAAATAGCGGAAGAGGCAGTTGAACGGTTGCTGATGAGTGTCGTTTCTTCAAACGCATTACCTGATTCCACTTCTGATAATAAGTTAGTGATTCTGCAAATTGAAAATTTTTTCATCAGTGATCATGTGTTCATAATGTTTTGAGTGTCCTTGTATGTTTGTACAGCATGGTTCAACATCTAATTACCACACTCTGTTAATAAATCAATGAATACGTCGCCAATAAGTTTATTATTAAGTTGAATTAGTTCCCAAAAAAAGAAACATGTTGTCATTCTAAATTGATATGCTACAAAAGGAATGCCGAAGATCTTGTCGGCACTCGCATCCTGTCAGCATTATAATTCAAAAAGTGTCAAAGGTATCAAATCGAAGCCGCCTATGTTTTTAGAGCATTGTTTGATGTTGGTGAAAGAAAGGTGATGAGATCCTTAGAATGGTGGGCTCATTGAGCATATTTTGGGATAGCAGAAGCCAGTTGAAGGCGGCGGCGATAAGTAAATTTCGGCGATGAATTTGCTTTTAATAAAACGACGGTGCATGTTTTTTAATGGTTATTTTCCCATGAGCCTTTGACAACAACTAGTGTGCAGATGCGTTCCTCATTAACATAATTCAACGTTGGTGCTGCCTGCGTGCACAATATCACATCACTTCATATCGAAATGAAATGGTATTGTATTAATACGCAAACAGTGAATGCACGCACATAAGCAGTATGGAGCAACACGTCGTTGGTTGTTGCACGAATGAAATAAATACATGTGCTCATAATGTCGTGCCATCATGATCATCCGTCCTAATATTTGTTTAGATTATTCTCATTACTCCTTCTTTCCTCTCTATTCTATGATGCAATTCATATATAGTCGACAAATGAGTTGTTGAGCATAGCATCATCACAGCTGATTGTTACATGCGTACACTACACCCACAATAAACATTTATCTTCTTCTGTAACTATTTACCAGTGCTTTTTTGTTTAGTTCCATCTTGGAAAGTAGGATTTCCCTTATTGAATAATTCGAATGTAAAAATAAAATTCTAATTTTGGTTGAGAATCCAGCGAGTGAGAATCTCGATTTTCATTGCACATCGACCAGATGTTTTTATTCAAACAGATTCGGTCATTAGATCGAAATCGCCAGTAAATTTTTAAATCCCAGTTTACTTCTCCGTGAATTCGTTCATTCATTCGCATACACTATTCAATTTATTGCTTCATGATTTTAAACACTTGAGAATAAAACTGCCTGCTTCTCTTGATCAGTTGATCTTCCCATTTACTCGATAAATGGATCACGCTCCTTGCAGTTCGATGACGTATTCGGTTTCGCACTCATGTAAGGTGCTTAAGTTGTTTATTCATGAATATGAATGAATCGGTTGCTGTGTGCTGTCGTAGTTACCCTGAATTTCATGCACCATCTCAATTACCTCTCGGAATTTATGGACGAGCACAAAGAAATTCCTAGTTTGTGCTCTACGAGAATTGGTTCAGCACTCAATTTTGAACTCATAAATTTGAAAGTTCAGCTGTCCTGAGATAGGATCACTCATGAACGTTCGGTCTAACAAAATTCTGTTGTGTGACTGAAATACTGGAGTGAAGGAAATGAATCAATGTTTTGCTGCATCGATATCAGATTCTGGAATGGCATCAAACGGGTCGATTTGTTCGCATGGCTGAGTGATTAAAAGTGTGAAGTGAGGAGATTATTCCAAGATGATTGCATTCAACCGAAATATATAGCACTGAAACATACGTAACACTGAAATTGTCATGCACAAACGCACACTAATAAAGTATATTTGTTGGTGCCTTCTAATTTGACACTGCCCGAGCACCAGTCTGAAGTTGTTCGTTTATTATGTTCATCAGTCATCTTTCGTTTCAAATTATTCTACTAAATATTATCGAGTTGAAAATAATTCTTTAAACTCATATTTGTTGCCACAAACAACTACAAATACTAGGTGCATGTTCAGCAGCGCTTGTACAAATCATGCATCTATAGTATGCACAAAAGAGTTATGTGATTAAGTATCGTCAGGTTGCTTGTTCTCGTTCTCGCTTCCATCTATCCATGTATTACTTGCCGAGTTGCTCTCCGTACAAACTGTTACTGATTATTTGTTTCTCGATTTCAATTCAAAAATAATTTAGCTGAACGATGCAAGCAGCAGTATAATTGATCACTGTCATCACGCCTAATGAACGTATAGCTAGATTATTCCCGATCGGTCGGTACAATCAACAAATTGGCGAGAGAAAGATGAGAATGATTGGTTGAAGCATCGGAAAGGCATCATTAAATTTATGAATCATGAACTTTAAGATAGCCCGGAAATTAGGCTCTTATCTATTAATATATGCACATTCAAGCATAATCATCGTCTGTGCGGAATGTGATCGTATAATATAATGTAACATAAAAATATATTGATGAAGCATTCAAGATGAGTGAGTATGATTACAAATTGGTGGTTGGTATGTGTTATATATTTGTATTTGTTTGCCTTAACGATCGTTTGCTCGTTATTCAACTGCTGTTGCAGTTATCATTGCATTAGCAGCATCATTCATACTGACCTCTGATATTGCTTCTTTCAAACAAAACTTTTGTTTCAGTTGGTCGTTTCGAGTATCCTCTTGCTACATATCTAAATGTCTCCAGCATTTATCGCATGCTCATCCTTTGCAATTGAACTAAACTGTAACAACAGCGTTATGCATAAACACTCACTAACGAAAATGTTTCTTAATAGTTAGTAATGAAAGAACGTTTCAATTGGCTTCTGGTTACGATAAAGAATATCACTCACAGCTCGTTGCCATCGAAACCACTCAATTTGCAAATCTCTCGATTGGTCATTTCAGATTCTTTTTGTAGGATAACAGATTTTTTAATCCCCTATATTCATCGACTAATCGCACAATTTGTGCTACGCACGATTCATAGTTCAACGCTCAAAAGTGATAATACTCAAAGCAAGTCAGTAATTATTGCAATTATATTTATTGTGATTGATATAACCGCATTGGTAAAGCTGGCAATTTCCTTGATAACCGTCTAGATGTCGGCTATTATTTTGACATTGATAAGAAAATCGCAAACGTTTCTTCTTTCCGTTCACTCAATGGCGGTAATCTTTCTGTGCGAAAGAGTTCATCTTTTAAATGATTGCATCAAGCAGAAATGCGTTCTTTAGTGCGTTAGAATTGTGTTTCTTTTTTATCGATGCAAAATTAGCATCTGATAAAGTTGAAGTGCCTTCAAATTAGCAACAGTTGATTGGATGCGATTCGATTCGTGCTTTTTGAATCAGTGTGATATCATTATTTCAAGATTTCCATAAAATTGTGCATTTATTACATCGCCAACTTGTGTTTAACAAGTCCCAGCACTTAGTAGAGCATTTTATAAGAAAATGTTTTGTATTCTGTATTTGGACTTTTCTGCTCGTAAAATGGTGAATTTCTGATTTATTTGCGATACATTCCACTAAGATAATATCTTATTATGTTGGTGAAGACAACCTTGCCCTCATCTTGAAACTTTATGCTCTTATTCTTAGAATGTGTGAAATTCATTCAATGAATTTTTTTAAACATCTATTTGCAAGTTATAAGAAGCTACTTTTGTGTGTAACATAATGCATTTTTGGAAGTGATATTTTCTCAGTGGATGTGCAGTTGGGAGAATTATGATAACGTTTGACGTAATCGTTTAAATGCCTTCATGCAGTGACTGATTCTCGGCTGCAACTCATCATTCTCTCTTTGTCAGAGCTCATTATTCTTATCGTTGTCACTGTTCTATGGATTTTTGCGCTGTATTTTCTCTACTTTTTGCACCGTTTCGATCATCAGTCTGATGTTGTTTATCAGTGATTGCGGTTATCATCAGATTGACTGCATCAAAGATTTTTTTGAAACTCATCCGACTATTGCTTCTCCAGTTCTACGATCAGTACCTATTGTTTCAGCGGTTCATCCAAAGTGGCCGATCGACACATTTATCGATTCCGCTGTCAACAGTGCTCGTTAGCGTTCCGCAGTGAGCAGCGCTTGGCCAACCATTCGTTGTATCATGCATTCCGCGCGAATATGCGCTGTACGCAGTGTGAACGTAATTTTCGATCAGCTGAATTATTGCGTAAGCATGTTGCTCAGGAACATTCCAACAGTTAGTTGCTCTTATCAGGCCTACTTCCTTTATTCATTTCCTTATCATCGTCCACGTTTGCGTTCAATCGCTTCCTTCTTGAGTCCATATGAGTCATTGATTGCTGCCTGGTACTCCTCCGTTTACTTCGGTTGCTTCAACTTCATTATTTACATTTATTCATTTACTGATGGGTTTTGCTTACCTAAATCGTGCAAAAAAAATTTGAAATCACATTTTAGAAGTTCATTCAACAACCGTTTTCATTATTTAATGTGTGAGCCCCAGATCCTCCTTCAATAAATCAAATGCAAATAGAATTTAATGAACCAAAAATTGGTGATCTCCGTTGTATGGGGACTTGTATCAAACATGTAGCACATCAGCAGTTACAGTTAAATAATCGGATGTGAATGACGTCATGTAATGAACAATGTTCTGCAATTGTTTCGTAATATTTTATTGGTGTGAATGCGATTGATGTTATCAAATCAGTTTTTGTGATAGCAAATTTGACTGACGAATCAATCGATTCTTGAATCAGATAGGTGTTGAACTAAACTTTCTTATTCAGACAAATCTGGTCTAAGTTTGCCAAGTACAAGTTCTTACAATTACGACGCAACTGAGTTGAATGAAGAAGAGTGTGCTGCTGATACCGGTGATAATAAACACAATGAATTACTGAGGTGGGTTTTTTCATTATTCACCGAATATATGATAATTCACCATTGTAAAGATATCAGTTATGATACATCAGCAGTTATCGGATTCTTGCCGTGAATAACATTAAGCCGAACTTATTTGACGGTTCCTACTCGAACTGCCTCGGACTGCTCTCATCAGGATGGTCAGTTCGCGTTTTTGGGGGTTATAAGCGAAAAAAATGAAGATGAAGTAGGTCCGTGCATTTCAACACTGACCAAAAATGTTTTGTTATTGCTTTCTTGCCATTAGTTGCGACGATCTTTACTTTGTTCAGCATCTTCCCTCCCATGAAAAAGAATTACATAATTTGATTTTCCGTCAAGATCAAAGATGAAGTATTAAATCGTGTTCGAGTTGTGATTGACCACAAAATGCTCTTCTTTTCTAGGCCATACAAGTGTGACTTATGCAAGGAAAGCTTCACTCAAAAGCAGCTTCTTCTGACTCATTACAACTCAATAAATCATCTTCACAAAGCCAAGAAAATACTCGAACAGCAACCGAATAACTTGCAGCTAAATGCACAGGTCAATTGTTGTAACTGTTGAAATTGGAGTTTTAAATTCAAGGAGTTTTAAAATTCCTACTCTATGCGGTAGGTGGAATACCGCAGAAAAATCCAACCGCAGCAGTTCACTTGAATATCTTAACGGATTTATTTCGAACGGAAATTCGTCTTGTGGATGAAGCATAATCGATGATTTTCCGAATGTCAATTCAAAGATAGCATGTGAAATGTTTTGAGTGATGGCGGTATCCTTTGATTGAATCTTATTGTTTCGACACGATGTGATCAAAGGTGAAATCAGTTTTAGATGCTAGCAGCGTTAGATTCGTCGGTGAATGCACAAAGTGGCAACAGTGCGCATTCGTATTCGAATAGCTCAAAACCATTCAAATGCAACATTTGTAAATTGGGTTACGGACAAGGATCCACGCTCGACATACATGTGAGGTGAGTGATATTAGTTCGTTTTTGATTAGAATCGATTACATTATCACAGCACGAAACACGCTTGATTGAATTCATTAAGGCACTTCTTATATGTCTTGATAAAAAAGTGAATTTAAAGTTCATATTTTTGTGCTCAGAGTATGATTCACTTGACAAAACGATATTTATGATGCATGTTACTAGGTCGGTTGCGCATCAATCACGTTTGTCGAAAATTGCTGAACTGGTTGCCCAAGGAGAACTAGATCCAGGAAAGCCCTTGCTTGAACAGCCTGGTGGGCCACCTCAAAAGACGATTGCAGAACTCATCCCAAAAGGTGATCTCGAACAGGTATGCATCGTTTGTTATGCAGTTTATAGCAAAGCATCCGTGGAAATTGATTGTATGCACGCGAAATATACCGCAGTTCAGCATATATCACTGTTCGATTCCTTGAAATATCAAAACTATATGATACTCTCTCCTACTGATTGGTAGTGAAATTTTTCCGAATTATTAGTTAATCATCAATAACTTTTTCAACAAACTCTATTAAACAGACGTGAAATTCAGCTTTGCAACTCTTCATACAGCGTTATCATCTTGTTATAATTCCTATCACAGCCGTTACTATCATTAATGTTATCACTGTCTTATTAGTTTAATTATATATTGAAATGATTCTTTGCATTTTATGCCGAATAAGAGAAGATTTCGTAATGAAATTCAGTATGCTATGTGAATAGTGTAAAGATATATAGAGCGATATTATTATTATGATGATTACGGTAAATGAATAAATGAAAGCATTATTATTATGAGGCAAATGACGGATGAGCAGATAGATCTATGGACATGCTTATAGTTAATTGATTTGTTATAAATTTTGTGTATTACATTTGTATGCCTCCTGCTCAATGATGATGTGTTGTTGTGAGCGATTCAATTCATTTTTGTGGGATTATCAAATTTCAAGGCATGTTCAGTAAATCGAGACAATCGTTTAACTAGTCAATTAATAATCTCATCAAACATTTCTTGTTTACCTCATCCATTTTTTTTTCATCTCCCTCTTACCGAATTGCTCTGCAGGTTACACCGGATACCACCTAATGACTATACCGCGCATATACAATTACTTTCATGTCTTTTTCATTGTCATTGATTACACTACACACGTGATCGCTGTGTAAAAGTTATACAGTAGACTAGCTGTTGCTTTCAAAAATCAAGAGTAGAAGGAATGTTTCTTGAGACAAAAACAGTGCGAGTAGCACTGAACAAGAAATTTTGATTTTTCAACTGCATTTTGTTGAATTGACTGGAACGACGCTGTATTGCGTTATTAAGATTTTGAAATTATGAGTAAACTCTATCAGTTGGACCACTGATAAGCATTGTTGCAAAGCATTTGTTTATTTATCACTTTATTGCATTCATGAAAAAAAATCGAAAGTCAAAGGATGCGACAGTTGATTCCCACTGATTGTTGACGTTAATTGTGTGTCAAGAATGAGCGTGAAGGATGATTATTATCGAAAGGTATTTCCGGTTATTACAATCCGTCGTAAGAGTAGTTCATAAGTACGTGTGTTTGCCATATCTGATGAAGTGGAGCTTAAATCCATTTCGATGATAAACATTCAAGTACAAATAACGGCATAGTTGCCTTCGACATAACAATCATCTGGGTTGGTGATTTGAATAATTGTAAGGTAGTGCTTCAGTAACGATATACCTAGCACCGTTAACGAAGTCATTTGCAAACTGCTACGAAATTTTGATGAAAGCATTTCAGAACGGCGTTGATCAGCATCAGCAACAGTCAGCACTAGCAATGATCAATATGTTCGGTGTTGCACAACTTCTGTCGATGGCGTCAGCGAGTCAGCAAGGCACATCCGCCACCAATCAAAATTCAACTGCATTAGCCAGTCTAGCTGCAGGCTTTCCATCCAGCATCATGCCTGCTGCATTTGGTGCATTTGGTAGAGCATTTTCATTAATTCCCTTCGCTTTTATCACCCTGTCTTCTATGAGTGAAACCGTTTCTGAAGTATATTCTGCTGGTTGAAAGTTTTCGGAACGCGATGTCGTTGAGTCAAAAAATTTTGTTGAATCGATGTTGTAAATGTATCATGTGAGCAGAATACTGTAAATTCTAGTCCGTTCAAACGTAAATTTTTTCTCGCAATGCACTTAAGGTCACCATAAAGTTTTTGCATCGAACACTGATAAGCTCATTTGTCATACTGTTATGCATGTCAACAGTGCAGATGAAATTGCTCAATTGGTGGGGAATTATTGACTTATAGGGCAATTGCCGAATGTTGGGGATCTGCGAACGGTAGGATCATCTCCAGTTCTCGAACGCCTTCCACAACAGCAGTCGGTCGATGACGAGCGAACTCCTCGCACTGGTGCTGCATTTCGTAAAATGCTCGAGGCTTATGGTGAGTTGAGTTGCTGCCTATTTTTGTTGAAGTTTTTCTGTCCAGGTTATGTATCACTTCCACATTTGTGCATCTCCATTCTATATCAAGCTCTCGTCAACATACCATGCCATTTTGTTTATGGACCGAAATCTTGCACCTAGATAGCATATGATCATATCAGAGTTTCAGTGCCATTGAAATGGGTGTACCAAGAAGAAATTCATCGTAGAATTATTGGTTGGTTTATTCCTCTCGGAAGCGTCACTGACTTCAAGCACAGACTTTTCAGGATTCGACGTTGTGAAGCAATTTAACGAGTGTGTCGATGATCAAAAACGACTATTAGAAAATGCTGTTTCTGATGACGCGTTTTGTCGTACTCAGTGCACGCAGTGCAGTAATTCTTTTAGCAGTATATGGGTGCTGAAAGCGCATTATGAACAGGTTTGATCTTCATCTCTGAAACCGACAGACTATAATAGTTATATGATTAGTAATAACAAAACCAAAACATTAATTGAAGTTCGTATAATTTTTTTCTGCATCAAATCATTCACAAAAATGTGACTTTCTCATTGACGGTTGATCGATAGATCAAGTTTTATTTTTGAACAATGGCTGCTGCTTTTTTTGTGATTCATATCGCTCACATTGTTACCGAATTTTTCGTCTCACTAATTACTGACTCATTGTTTTGTAACAACCATATGCGTATTTTATCATTGAACAGCCCGGTCAGGTAAATATCGATTCAACGTTTTTTTTGATGAACTGACTGTATTGTCAATCGAATCCGTTAGTATGAGAACATGATGAGTAATCGCTACTTCATAGTTCATCTGAACCTTGAAGGTCCATAATAGTACGATAGTGGCCGAAGAGGTGGAACAATTTGCGGAGAAGTTACGCAGAGCTTTGGAAGAAGATGATCAGAAAGAAGGTAGTGATCAACAAAGTGAAACGTCTAAGAAACGTCCTCGAACTGACGAATCTGGCCCAGATGCTGATGAAGTGAGTTGTTTGAATCGAAAAGAAATGTATAAACTGAAGGTATGCATGTCTAGAACTCTAGTAGGTACCTCTGGTGCAGTTCACACATTGATTGGGATTAGTTCGGAGCATATCAAGCTGATGCAATAGTGGTCTTTTTCACCAAGAATTTTGATCAGCTGTCACTGATATTTCGACTTTATCGAGACGCTCTGCCGATGAAAAAATGTCACTGGACATAAGAAATGAAATGGATCGATTCTCCTGTATCATGACTTCATGTTCTAGGTGAAACGTGTAAAAGAAGAAGGAGGCTCGAGTTCGTCAGGCTCCACGCCTCGACCTTCAACATCTAAGGAAACACCAGAACTCAGTAGCCAATTGGCAATGATGGGCATGATGGGTTTTCCATTCATGCCCAACCCATTCATGCCCATTATGAACCCAGATTTTTTTGCCAATCCTTTGCTGGGTGTTCAGCCTAATCCATCGGTTATGACGCACGGTAATTCATTCTGTCTATGCGATTTTCATTAATGAGTACTCCAAAGAGCACCTAAATCGCTCGGAAAACAAAGTATTTCAGTCATGTATCTTAACCAGTTTTGCTACTATTCTATGTTTTCAACGCAGATTTAAACCATATTAGATATTCTATCGTAGAATTTCAGCACTGCCAAGTTCATCGCCAACAAAAAGGGCACGAACACGTATAACCGACGACCAGCTGAAGATTTTGCGACAATATTTTGATATCAACAATTCACCAAGTGAACAGCAAATTAAAGAGATGTCTGTTAAGGCGCAACTCCCTGAAAAAGTCATTAAGCACTGGTTTCGCAATACTCTTTTCAAGGTTCTTCAATTATTCCCTTCAATTCATCACTTTTTTGCATTTGATTTTTAGGGTTACCTGAATATCGTATTCATTACAAACAGATTCGATGCAACGAAACTGTGATCGAAGGTTATGAAATTACTCGTAGGTAACAGTTGTTTAACAATGAGTCATGCCTTTCATACAAGTTTCTGGTCATAAATTGAGGTGTTGCACCATCCTCAGCTTAGTACTACTGAATCTGATCATCTGAGTCGTGGGAGAACTTCAAGTGAATGCAAACTGTTTTCAAGGAACGGCAGCGAGACAAGGATTCACCCTACAATTTTAGCGTTCCACCACAGATGAGTATTGATCTGGACACTTATGAAAAAACAGGAGAAACTAAAATTACGTCGCTGAAAACTGAGGTTGGTTTGATCGATTTTCAATGCCTTATTAAACCTACGACGTGATACTTCACGAGTTTCAATACACCGTCTCAACGATCTTCTATTCGCCTTTAAATGTTGTGAATAAGGGTTTGGGGTCAGAAATGTGTATTTATCATATGCATTTCACTGATCAAGGTGTATTTAGCACGTTCCAGATACAACAAATCAGCATTTTCAAAAAGTTATGCATGTAGTTCGTAGGTTTATAATCAAAGATAATATTATATTTCTATTGCTTTCGGTCAGTTTTTGAATGTTGTTTTAAAGGCAACAGTAAGTGATGATACAAAGGCGGCATCCGCAACAAAAAGCCAACCAATCGAAAGTGCATCAATGGTGAGCAAAGTGAACAGTCCCGTTCTCCCTGGTACGAGTCAACTTGCAACCGTTCCTAACGCTCAAGTACCTTCTAACCCATTTGCATCGTTTCTCCATGACGACAAAGCCATCTCATCCCTTCTTCAAGGTTTCCTAGTGATTTTTTTCGTTCCTTATGTATTTCTATATCGCATTACCGTATTCGAAATGTTCGTTATTACTCGATTACTTTTCCGTTCAGTAGAAGATAAGTGAGTACGATGGCTTTTTGCTCAAGATGATGCATTCTATTCTATTTGAAAGTAATATTTGGGGGGCACAGCTTCAAATCAAGAAATTTTCTAGGTATACCGCAATCCAACTCTGTGTCTGGACGTCGCGCTAACAGAACACGATTCACGGATTATCAACTGCGCACATTGCAACAATTCTTCGACAAGCAAGCCTACCCCAAGGACGATGATCTCGAGGTGCTGTCCAAAAAGTTGCAGTTAAGCCCTCGTGTCATCGTAGTCTGGTTTCAGAATGCTCGGCAGAAGGTAATTTAGTTCGGAATGACCAGTCATGTTAGATGTCTTATTATTGATTGCCGCTGAAAATGATCTTAAAAACGCACATCAGTGAAATTTATGCGAGTCGATAGCTCGTTGCATCTAGTGATGCCATTGATTTCTCCAAAGAAACTTTTAGGTAAGATAACGGGTCCTACTAATTCTTGAAATAGTCAGTGGTTTATCTCATGTTTAGGCTCGTAAAATATATGAGAATCAGCCGTCGTCTGCCAGTGACGATCGCTTCATGAAAACGCCTGGTAGCAATTTCCAGTGTAAACGATGTCAGCTCGTCTTTCAGCGCTACTATGAACTCATTCAACACCAACAAAAATTATGCTATAAAGATGACTGTTTAGCGCAGCAAAAAGACAACAAGGTTTCATTTCATTCGTAACTATAGTTTAATTCCTAAAATGATTTCTCACGTGAATTCTAAGATGTTTTGTTTTGAAAGTGAATGAGGTACGTTTCTTTGAAGGGTGTTGAAGAGAATCTAAGTGAGGATGAAAAATCGATTCTGGAATCTGAAAGTGGTATCGCAACGTCAGCTCAAAGTGGAAGTGCACAATCGTCGTCAAATCTGAGTGGCGCATTAGCACAACTCATTGGAGCTGCTTCTTCTGAAACGGGTACAGATCTCAATCAAACAGAATTCCTCAAGTTGCTCGCCTCCGCAAAAACAACTCAGGATAATACACTGAAGCTGGTGAGTTCTGGCTGCAGTTTGAGAGCAGTCAGCGGATATTTATCACTTCAAAGCATCCAGCTTTCTTATATTGGCTTAATTTGATTTACGTCAAACGATATATTTTCTCTTTGAGTAGCTTGCATGAAATGAATAAGCTAAGCAGTGTGCATTCAACTCAAGCGTTTTGATTGTGCTTATGAGGTAACAAGTCATCTTTCAAGAAGCGTTGTCCTGGAATGGGAAGATTTAATTGTTGCAAGATTTGCCTTCCACCGTTTATTTCCGCTTTTTATCCATTAATTGATGATCGTTCTTATATGTTCTCTACGCATCATATCAGTAGTAAATCATGTCTTCTCTAGTCTCGTCAAAGAAATTAGGCTAAAATTTAGAGTTAATTTATTGGAGGGTAGACAGTGGATGACCGTTGGTTATCTTTAGTATCTTCTGGGTTTCGCGGTTGAATATTAAATGAAAGAGGTTGCTGAGACCATGGCCTTCCGTGTTTCATTTTCGTAATGCGGTGACCGGTTATTTCTTTGACACCAGTATTCCTATCGCTTGTCTGTTTGATATGCTCGAATGAAGTTTGCCTCTTCCTTGGAACGTCTAAAATAGGAAATGGCGACAAAGACTTTGTGTTGGTTGCAGAAAGTACGTGACAAGAAGAAGGCCTTCTACAAGCGTTGTCCTTTCTGTTGCGTGTTATTCCATTCGCGCGATTCACTATTGGCTCATATACCAGCGCGCCATCCTGAACAAGCCAACAGTGCCCCGGTCAATGTGGACCTACTTCCTGATGCTGAGGATGTAAGCGCTAGTGTTATGTGTTCAGTCTTCAAGTGTCTCTCCTCACTACTTGCAGCAGTTACTGATTTTGAAATTAGATGAAAGACTCTACCACCACAAATGTCTATACAGAATGCACATCTTTCAATGTCGCTAGTCGAAGCAGTTGTTTTTTAGTTGGTTCAAGTGTTCTGTGGCTTTACACTTTACTTGATAAGACTAGAACGAGAAGAAAAGAAATGATGTAAATTATCAGATGTATCTTTCATGTCAGGTACCAACAATAACCACTACTCCTAATGAAGACCCAATGAACATTTTGGATGCTTCGAAACTCAATGGATCATCAACTAAAACCGAAATTACACCGTTGGATCTCAGTTGTTCTGCCAACGGAGACGGGTGAAATACTTTTTCAATGCTTTTTTCGGACTTTTAAGAATACTTTTCGTGTCGTGAAAATACTCAGTTCAGTGTTGTGGTGAATAACTGATATGAATTCGAATGCAACGAGTGATGAATAATACATTTTCATTGCTATCATTTGAGTGTATTTTTTTCAAAATTTCACATTGCTTGCAAGGAACGTAAGTCGAATGATGTTTATGAATAACTCATTGATTGGTTTCAGCCGTGAAGGCTCGATTTCGATGTCGCCGACCTATTATCAATCTGATAATGATGATAACAGTGATAACGTGGAGACTTGTGAGCAGTACAACAGTTCATCGCCAGGCACTACGTCCGGCAACGCTCAGGGTGGCATTCAGCGTAATGCATCTAATTCGAAACGATATCGCACTCATCTAACACCCCTCCAAGTTCATGTTCGTCTTTCTTACTGGGGCGTAGTTTCGCACACCAATCGAAACTTTAGCGAGCAGTCATTAAACTATAATAAATGTTTATAGAAATGAAAACCCAATCGTGTTAATGATCAATTTTGGTACTATCTCCTCTCTACATTGTTTTATCAACTGTTGTTGATGTAATTGCACGAACAATGGTGTAAAACTGATTGGTCATATGAATGGACACTTTAGAGGGAACCTTGATTTGTTGGTGTATGGTGTCCAATGATTCATTGATTATTCATGAGAAAAAGATTCTGTTTATGAACTCACTATTGTTTGTTTGCATACAATTGTTAACTGCCCACCTTTACCTATCAAACACCCAATTTTCTTTTTCATTACTCTCCAATTATTTCAGAGCTTGTGATTTAAACAAAAAATCATTTACAGGTGATGAAAAGTGTTTTTACTGACTACAAGACTCCATCGATGAGCGAATGTGATATGCTAGGTGCTGAAATAGGGCTTCATAAACGTGTTGTTCAAGTATGGTTTCAAAATGCTCGAGCAAAAGAGCGAAAAACGAGAGCTTATAACGGTTGGTCATCTACATATTGTATTGTCATCTCTTTTTTCTTGTGCAGTAATTGTTGTTGTATGAAAGAATTTCTGTTTCAAATTTCAGAAAATTATTGAGCGCTCAAATGAAAAATGAATTAAATGTTTCGGCTTATACGCGTGATTTACATTTATTGAATGTGTTTGAAGGGGAAGATGAAATGTTACGATGTACCGCAACACGATGTGCCATTTGTGGTGTTGATTACAACCATCGATTGACGCTACACGATCATATATTCACTGCTGATCATTTGGCGAAAGTCAAAAAATTACTTCGCACAGATACGACAGCACAGCAAACGGAGACAAATCGCATTGAAACATCATTCAACTCAGAAAACAGCACTGATAAGGAAGACAATCATCGAATCAGGCTCGTTTCCGTGCTTTTTAGTTTGCATTTCATATACGAGTAAAGCTCATCCAGATATCGTGCGCTCATCATTTTACATAATGCATTTTTTGCTCTTCTTTGTTAGGCTCCATTTGTTTTTCGTTGAAGGAAATTTTCAAGAATAAGTGTGAATAAATTCTATTCCAGTTTTTCCGTCCTGTGGGAATGATCGCATTTTTCATGACCGAAAGTTATGCCGTTATCAATTCCGCCTATTGCTTCCCAAAAACATTCTGTATGGTTACTGTCTGTGATCGAATATAGTAATTTGATTTCAGGATGAAGGCTGTACGCGATCGTAAGATTGTCAAGGGATCTGGTATCAGTCTACAAAATGCAGCTGCTAATCCGCTCTCTCAGTTCCCTTACAATTTTATGTATGGATTGCAGTCAGGTGGTCATTGTTTAAATTGCAAATTGATCACAGCTAATCTTTCTCACTCCAAATCATGCATGTTTGCGTTTGCCAATTAGTTTCTGATCGTGAGATCATATGTTTTTTTGTCCGAAGTCTAATAGTCAGTTCTAATCGTCACGTATATCTCGATGCAGTATGTTGCTGTTTTTTGATTATCACTCACACATTGATGAATGAATTCTATAGCGAATTAACTTGCAGGTATGCCACCGATGATCTACGATCCGAACGTAATGGGTACTCCAATTCCAATGCTACAAATCCCAGAGAGTGTTATGACAAAGATAACGGCCGATATGAGTGCCGGTCACGAATCGAGTAAATTCACGCAAGATGGCAAGACCTTTCAGCAGCTGATTGCTGTACTACCGTTACGTGATTTCCAGTGTGCGGGTAGCAAGGACAGTGAGGTAAAGGAATACATCTGCTAAGAGTTGATTTAAACATAACTAGACTAGATTTCAGTTATGGAAAGAAATTGTCGTTAAGATGTGCTGTTGTTACTGCTTCTGTGCAGTGTTGTTTTTTGAAACTGTTTTCGCATCATAGCTTATTGTGATCTCTAAACGAAATTATGTTCAACGACGCTGTGTGAAATGTGCAATTCATAGGTTGGATGGGCATGTCCACAGTGTACGAATGTATTTCAACAAGAGATATTGCTCAAAAATCATCAGCGTATTATATGCCAAAATTGTGACTCCGTCTTCAAACTCATTCAAACACATTACGAATGTCGAGCATGTAACACCAAACTTGGCACACAGGTATGCTTTAATTTTATAGCTTGCCGAATGGAAACAAGCACTTTGCTGAAAACTTGTTTTATTGACCATTTTAATTTGTAGGCCGAATTCAAAACTCATTGCGATGGTGTTGATCATCAGAAAGCGCGTGAGGTGTTTCTGGGTCATGCAGTTTAGGTTGATGATAATTGCTGGGATGAAGTCATCACGGCAATGATTCTGATTTGACTGAGTATATTCAACTGGTCTCTATTTTTAGCAGTGCGCTGTTCTTTGTATTGTTGTCTAATTTCAGCATTTTGCTACGTCTCGCATTTGATGTCCAATTTTGGTGTATAATTATATAATAAGTGATGATTGTTTTTGTGATGAAAACAAAAAGTTTATGTATTAGAAGCAATAACAGGAAGCTGTGTTGTACATCCAATTGATGCAGCGATGTTTGTTTGTTGTTTTGTTTTTTAGTCTCATTGGTGGTCATTTGTTCCACTCAATAATTGAACAACCCGGCCTGTTTACTTGTTTAACGTTTACTCGTTGCTCCTTTGAGCAGTTTTTGTGCTGCTGTGATCGGATCTCGCCATCCTACTTTAGCACTTGTTAAACTGCGTAGTGATGAACATGGACCGCATAATTGCTTCACACGTTGTGGTTTGTCTTCCGTTCTTCCCACCCTTATAAGTTCTTTGTTTGCTGCAAGTTATTTCGTAACTTTTAAAGCAGAACTGAAAGATTTTTTTTATCAGACAAAACGGCATTAATCATTAATTCCTTGAAATAATTTCTTCAGCAGATAAGCAAGTTTCTACCGAAATTTTCTAATCCCAACACTAACCATATTCAAAATACCGATATAAAGCGAGTTATTATGGCTCACTCTCACATATTTTATTCACGTTAGTTAGCTGTTTTTCGGGAAAAATATAATTCGCTACAGTGTTTGTAGAGGACTAATACCCAAGGCCTCAGAAAACGTAAAGCTATGCAATCTGTGAAGCGTTGTAGTTGTAATGTTATGCTGTATTGTTGATTTACCATTGTGTAACTGCTGAGCTCCTTCATAGAATATCAATAAATTCTATAGCAATAATAAATTAGAATTGTTGCCTTAATGCTATTATATTGTTAACAAGCGTCTCGTTGAATTCAATGCTTCCTTTTTGTTGAGCGCTTCCATTGATGCTATTACTTATCTTGTTTCGATACTTTAGAATGTCCAATGCTTGCATATATCTCTGTTGTCTTCCGCAATATTATACTTCCGTTGTTTTTGTTTGCTGCCACGCACACATCTCTTCGTTTAGCACCTTTCGATGATCCCGTATCATTTCGCTTCTAGTCAGTTAGAATTGATCTTTCGCATTTTGACTGTTCTGTCCGAAGAAGATGTAAATGTTTTTTGATGAAATTATGGGCGAGTGAAGAAGACCCGACACGTTAATCGTTTTGCTTTGAGGACCCGCACAGCCTCATCGATAAAAAGAAATTAATCTTTGTATATACTAGTGCATTCAAGTGAATGCATGTTTAGGAAAATCTTCTCTTGCTGAAAATGAGCATCGAATTGTTTAGGAAGAAAAGCATAGAATTGTTTAATAATACCAATTAATAATGTCATCCGTTGATTCCGTTTTATATTTTTCACCACATTCATCGAAAGATCTAAACCGTATGGTGCCGTGTAAGTCGGTATATTTGCTTTATGTTTCATTTCATTCTCGTTCTTGTTCTCATAAAATGCTTTACAATAAAGTTTTAAATTGTTCTCAATAATGGGTCAATCGTTATTTCAGTTATGCGCGCTTCTCATCGTGTTTTTTCAATTATTATGCAAAACCTATCTTCTTTGATGTTCTTCTCTGCTCTCATTTATAGCCAAACTCTTCTAATATGTGCACAAAGATGTTATATTGATTTATTTCTTTTTGATAATTTGGAACGATTGGTGAGATATTTGTGTTATAATATAAACGTGATATATTGACTGACTGATTTGCATTTACATTTCTTATACTCGATTTTCTAAATAGTGGTGTACAACAGTGCAACTATGGTTCAAATGGAAAGATAGTTGTTTCATTTGCGATAATTCTGAATATACTTTTCGTTGACCGGGATAATTTATTGAGTGCTCGGTCTATCGTAACTAGGGTTTGCAAAATCCCGACGATTTTTCAATCCCGGGATCGATTCTTGATCCTGGGATAATTCCGGGATCGAACAGTTATTGAAATATCGATGCGGGACATGTTTAAACACATTTTTCGAACCAATTTGTTCATTATTAATCAGAAATGAGCTAATTTAACAAATTAGTGAACAAATCCAAGGAACTACGTATTCAAATTCAAATTAATATTTCATATAATGATGCCAGCGATCATGCCGCAAGGGCATACGGCATATTCTATGTCAAGACATCTTTTCGTCTCGGGTCTAAGCTAATAACAGTACACTTGCATGTGAATATGAAATTCTTGATTCTCAAATACTTACTTCCAATGCTTCGAGTCCATTTTCTCTCTGTGTTAACATCAGCTGAATTCTGCCATTTCGGAAATTTCGATTTTTTACAAAAAAATGCATCGCATAAATTATACCATTTTAGTTTTGAAAAAATTAAAAGTTCAGAGTTTATCTGAAAAGTGAAAAAACATCTGCGATGGTTTTTCGTCGGACCATCGAGCACTTACATATTTGATAATTTCGATCAAAAATCATGCAAATNNNNTTTTTACAAAAAAATGCATCGCATAAATTATACCATTTTAGTTTTGAAAAAATTAAAAGTTCAGAGTTTATCTGAAAAGTGAAAAAACATCTGCGATGGTTTTTCGTCGGACCATCGAGCACTTACATATTTGATAATTTCGATCAAAAATCATGCAAATGTACTTGATATTCAAGCTTAAGATCCTTTTGAATGAACAACTTTGCTCACTTCGGCAATGAATTCTCACTATGAGTGAACTTAGTGAGAATTTGAGTACATTTCGATCTAAGAAAACGTTTCCAAATAGCGATGTAAAAAGACTTGCAATCTTTGGAACATGCAGTTGAATTAACAGATGGAATATTGAAGCCGAACAAATCTTGTGGGAGGAAACGACTCGAAATTTCACTGAACTTTGTTGCTCTTGGTTTTTATTAGAAAATGTGATTATCTCTGTTAGTCTATTACACAGAAATGCATCCAGATGAGGGTGATATAAACCAATGAAGAGCAGAATAATCAGTTGAATGTTCAATGAAATGTTACATAAAAGTTCATCGAGCTGTCGTTGATCATGTCAATCGTCCGAATTGTGTCATTTTCCTTAGCTGAACATCAATGATAGGGTGCAAACAGCAAAAATAACTGCATATAAATTAGATGGTAATGATTAAGGCTTGCTTCAAGATAGACATATTATCAAAATTAGCACAAATTGGCCTGTTTTATCAAATCTCGAGATTTTTCAAAACTTAAATCTCGGGATCGGGATCAGAACTGTAATCCCGGGATCCGGTGCAAACCCTAATCGTAACATTCTTATGGGAGCTTGTTAGTACAGTAGTAATTTTGCTTAACTTACAAGTTGAGTTGTCATTATTATTGGAGGTGAAGTATTAGTGTATTTCTTCAATTTTGTTTGCAGTTTCTAGTTGAAATGACGTCGTTAGCAAATCAAGACGATATGACTGTAGTCTCTGATGAAGTTGGATGAAAAAATGTTGACTAATACGATACCCTTCATAAAATTTTATCTCAGTTTGGTAACACGTTGTAAGGCAACGCATTCGCGAAATTTTTGCAAAAACCAAAAGTGGAGAAGCATTTACGAAAGTGGTATGCACACATATACATAACTTCAAATGCAAGTGATTGAGAAACAAAAAGAAACATATTTGAAATGACGAAACGATATGGACAATCTGATGTGGGAATGGAATATATTTGCTGTCAACATTCACTTTCAAACCGTTACAATTCGAAACTGGTTGACAAACTTGAATGAGCATATTTAATAGAACGTTTTCCACAAGGTACAAGCCTGAAAATTACACTCTCAAGTGTACATAGATACATATTAACAATCATTCATTTCTGCTATATTCTTATCAATGATGAAATTTTTGCGCACTGGGATGAATATAATGTTGTTCTAGAGATATATGGAAATGACAAAAATGTGTATGTTCTATAATGCCATCTGGAATGGATTGAGGAGATATTATTAGAGCGGAGATCAGTAGCTTTTGTCTTCAGTGAGTTACCATAAACATTTATTTGTGACGAACAAATGTGATCAGCGACAAAAGAGCCATCAATCGAGCGTATTTCTTTTTATGGTCGGATGGAGTAATGAAGCAAACCGTGCTATGCTGGGAAAGAAGATGTAAAACGAACAAGATTATGTCCGAGATTGGTGAAGCTGTTGGGCCTTGTGGGTTGAGAACGCTTCTCGTTGCTATCACCAGCCGGTGAGCGCGTCCGTGCACGACGCTCACTCCGCCTGTCTGTGGCGACTCGTTGCGAACTGCAATTATGAGTTATAAGAAACAGACATTCTCAAAGTGCTTTTGGAACCATATGCTAAAAACTACTCACTGGAAAATGAAAGCATATTCAATTGCCAGTAAATCATATAGGTAGATTTTTTAATGGTATACATCGAGGAACACGTTCCCCTATTTATTGTCACATATTTAGATGCCACAGCGACCGTTCAGTGCTCAAGTACTATACTAGCAGTGACTAGGGTTTGCACGGGATTCCGGAATCCCGAGATTCCGGGATTTCAGTTTCGAAAAATTCTGGGATCTCGGGACTTGATAAAGCAAGTCAATTTGTATGAATTTTGATATTATACCCACCTTGAAGCAAGCCTTAATCTTTCCCAGCTCATTCATATGCAGTCATCTTTGTTGTTTGCCACCTATCATTGATGAATGGTCAAGGAAATAGATGCAGGTCAGACTAATGACATGATGCACGACGGCTTGATGAACTTTTATGTAACATTTCATTGAACATTCAACTGATTATTCTGCTCTTCATTAGCTCATCTGGATGCATTTCTATGTAGACTTACGGAGATAATCAGATTCTCTAATGAGAACTAAGAGCAACAAAATTCAACAAAATTTTCAGTTGTTTCCTTTCACGCGATTTGTTCGGATTCAATATTCCATCTATCATTTTCGTTCTATCCAAATATACATAAATTCTCACTGAGATCACTCACAGTGAGAATTCATTGTTGAAATGAGCGAAATTGTTCCATTCAAAAGGATCTTAAGCTTGAATGTCAAGTGCATTTCCATGATTTATGATCGAAATTATTAAGTATGCAAGTGCTCGATGGTTCAATGAAAATCCATTGCAGATGTTTTTCTCGCTTTTTAGATAAACTCTGAACATTTAGTTTTGTTTCAAAATTCAAATGATTTAATTTATGCGATGCTTCCGGAAAAATCGAAATTTCCAAAATGCCAGAATTCAGCTGCTGTCAGCACTGAGAGAAAATGGACTTGAAGCATTGCAAATAGGTGTATGGGAATCAGGAACTTCATATTCACATGAAAAAATACTGTTATTAGCTTAGACCAGAGATGACAAGATGTCTGAGTATAGAAAATGCAGTATACCTTGCGGCATGATCATTAGTATCATTATATGAACTATTAATTTGAATTTGAATAATTTATTCTCTTTTGTTGAATTTAACTCCTTTCGATCAATTATAAACATATTGGTTTAAAAACGTATGTTTTCAAAACTTGTTCGATTCCGGGATAATCCTGGGATCGAAAATCGACCCAGGATTGAGAAAACGTCGGGATTTTGCAAACCCTATCAGTGACCATCGTTTGCATTGTAACCATAGGTAGAAAATTTAGTCTGATCTTTTGATAAAATGACTGAGATAATTATTTCGAATAATGTACTCATGACCTTACACTCGTTCCATTTTTCTCATTCACTTGGTTTGCCTCTCATAAAAGTACTTTACCGTAAACAACAAGGTCTTCGAAATACCGAGATCATTAAATAATCATTGTCTATACGAGGTGGCACTGATTTGCATAATTTTCAAAGCGTTTTAATAGCAAATGTTAAAAACCGTTTCCTTCTGATGCTAATGGTTATCATTCATGTAATTTTTGAAATTCATCTTGACTTGACTTCTGACCAAAGATAAAGAAATGAATAGGCTATGCAAGAAAGATCATCGAACCAAGAATACGTGCATTCATACATTCTCGTCCATACTCAACATAGCAGACATCATTTGACTGAACCTTTCTTTGGATAATCTCACTTTATCTCCTACAATTACATCCGAAAAGCTTTTCAAGAATTGACAAATGATTAAAAATCAATCGTAATATTACTCTAAGTATTTCGTTCTTGTATTGAAGAAGGTAATTAATGTTTAAAGAGTTCTACTGTTGAAAGCTGAATAGGTAGATTACACTAATCGACGCGGTTGGAACACATTGAAGCATTTAATCAAAACTGATCATCTGTAAGTAAACAGATCAATATAGGCTTCGCGGCGAAACCTTCTATTAATACTCTCTTCATACACATTTAAGAAGTACGGAAAAGTATGCATGCATATAGTTATATCACTGAAATGAGAAGTGAGAAACTGAGTAGGATAAGTAGAATCTATTAGAAAAGGTGCAAGGGAACGAGGGAAGTGCAAAAATGCAAAGAGACAATTCAGAGACCTATCGAGTACGGTAGTTGCATCCAGCTGTGAACTGTTCTGTTCCAAAGAACAGCTTTGCAGGTAACCTTCTAACCATGACTTTCGCCGTCCCTCTCTTCCAGACGATGACGCATTCTGTTCGTCCGAAATATCACTGCCATTACCTGAATCGCCTGATATGCGAATGTTGAGCAACATCGACCAATTTTCATCACCAAAAAATGTAACATGTCTCGAAATAAATTCCCTTCATCAATGTACCACTGCAGAAGTTCATCTTCGCAATCACTCTTTACATCTTTCTTTAGAACTGAAGCTGTTTACATCTCTATCGACTCTAATCATATGATATAACTAAGCAGTCAGTGTAAAGCGAATCGATCACTTCGAATTGGTGCCTTCAACGAACATTTTTGAGGTACTGATAGAACTTCGAAATGAAAGATGCTGCGATGCAAACAAATTGTCTTATCGTTGATGAGCAGAAAGGAGCAGCCCCTGAACGAGGGAACGATGGATGTTATCGAGGAAATCCAAAGGGGGCATCAAAGTGCGGAATGAAAACGATAAAGTTGCACCACACACCCATCCGAGAAGAGATATCTGATTCAAGTGAGCCATGACTGTCCTTTGATTCACGACGACCACGATCCTCAAGTCGACCATCTGCTGACAGAAATGACATTTTTCTGCAAATTCGGAATACAGCTCTGGTCTCATTCAAATCAGAGTTATCATCTTCAAAAGAAAACAGGTGTAGAAGTTTTTTTTCAATATTTTTTCGTCGGTATGCGTCAAACGGCGAACTGATCAATTTTGGGCAGCGAGACTAAAGCCACAAAAACTTGAGGTGAAATGATATAACCCAGCATTCATAACTCACTGCTTCTGAAGTTTGAAACGTTATAACTCAAGTATGTTTGTGGATTTTCGTAGAAGTCAAATTCTGATTATTCAGTAGAACATCACCGATGCATAAAGAGATTCATTGCGAACTTTGATATTATGCTGGAGATGTGAAAACGAGCTCGTACCTGGAGTCATATCCGGAAAAAGATGGACGCGCTGCCGTGATCATCACCCGTGGCAGGTGACTGCTGCTCATACTCACTCGACGACTTCCCATACGCCTATAAATGTGAAAAAGTATTTTTCGAGAAAGATCCTCAGAGGTTCTCCCGACAATATCGATTAAATCAAATGCTACTGACATATGATATGCAATCAGCTAAACGACCCATATGTGTGGTGTAACGGATTCGTCTGGAATCGTCCAAAAAATCGGCCTATACTCATAGCTTTATGCAGACTCTAAAGATTTCCATTTGCCCGCGCTACTGAGCAAATATCTGTTGTATTGATCCTAAATTGTGCTGATCCTAAATCAGCAGCAGTATTCTAATAAATACGCATCTTAATTTTGTTTAATAACTGAACTCAAATTGCGAATGCTGATGTTTAGAAGTGAATGGGTCAAATGCTAATAATACTGATGGCAAAAACACAAGAGAAGCTAACCCAAGTGCACAACTATGTTCCTGCTGTTGTTCATTGCTTTCATAGCGCAACTGCTCAACAATATCAATGAGGATTCGAATCGTACTCAGAACATCATCGAAGTGGGCAATACTCAAATCATTTAACGCTAATCCCAATGTGAGCGGATTCAACAAATGATTACATATCACTGAACGATCACGCAATCGTGACGCATCGCACGTCAAAATCCGTTGCACTAAACCTGTAAACTGTTTTACCTCGCACAATATTCACTTAATTATTGATTACGTCTTGTGCTATCATCTCAAAAGATCTTTAGGCGCAATCGTTTCCCATTCCCATCAGAATTTACAAAATTTGTCAATTTTGTTCTGTAACTGAATGCGAAATGTTTGATTGCAATCAGTGGACGGAAACTATCGTTAGCCTTACGGGACTTTGCATGAATGATAGCATGATGTTGCATATCACAAAGCGATATTGTTGAGATCAGTAATTGCAGCATGTTCCAGTCACACCGGTCCGATAATGCAGCAATACACGCCAAGACGTCAAGTTGACGCTAAAAATTGCTGATTATATTATCGAAGCTATGTCATTGAATAGATTCACTGAGATATATCAAAACATTTCAGTTTATAATATTTCAACTGTATTTTATTCCAAATAAAATCAAGATAAGTGATATAAGGTTAAAATCGGCGTTCGTCAGGGAACAAGGTCGTCAGCGGGGACCCTGTCCCTGAAAATTTTGCTTCCCAACTTCTTGGTTGGTGTCCCCCTCTTTGGATAATTTACAAACCTTTACTTTATATGTTTTTTGTGGATGGAATTTTGAATTTTGTGCTCCTGGAGCCAAAATGACGTGCTTTTTAATTATTTGTAATGTTCATACGGGTGTAGGAGTGCCCGCTGATATATTTCATTGCAGTGCAGCAATGGTTCTCGACCTTTTTCCCACACCCTTTAAAAATTTTAAGGTGTCCTCATACCCCTCACAACATCCACTCTGCCTCTCATTTACCACAGTGAGTGTCTGTAGTTGAAATCCGCCCTCGCCGACTTTAATGTATCAAAAATGAAATGTTATCTCGCGCCTCCTGGAATATCTCGCACTCTCAAGGGTGTGAGCATCCATGGTTGAGAAATCTTGCAGTAGAGGATCCAAAGCGAGAGAGAATGATGCTCGCTGATCATCGGTGGAAAAGTGAACCAAAAATTTAAAAGTGAACCAATACATCCGATAAGGAAAATCTTTGTTCGGTCTATCTGAGCGTTTCCATATTCCTCATTTTTACTCTGCATTCTTACTGTTTATCGTTCGTTGCGCTCTGAATACTCCAGAAGGGCACATCGAGACGGTAAAATTTATTCAAAAATAAGTTGAAACGTTCTCAGTCCTCTCTGACATGGGATCCCCTGATGTAGTCATTCTTCGACGGAGTCCCCCCCCCCCCCCCCTCACCGACAACATTCATAGCTCCAACATGAAAAGATACACTAAGCAGCTATTGATTAATAGTTCATAACAGTTTAACTAATTTTCTAGACCCCAAAATTGTCCTGTAGTCGGAATTTTGTCATGTGAAATGAAAAATAATCAATAGAATTGACATACTGATATATTATTATGAACAAATTTGTTCATTGCTTCGAAAGCGGGAAGAAGACGTCGAGCAATGAACCAATTCGGTAAGAATTCGGCTACGGCTGGAATGCCTTGGACAGCTTGTCCCTGCAATGCAACGCATCCAGTCTAAGATCGGAATCGCAGTTGTGAATGCTTCAATATGCTGTTCACAGTTAGCACTCATTCCGATACTTACGTGTGGGGTTTTAAAGACATCAACATGAACAAGTACAACATAATGAATGGCTTCAAAATGGAATATGAAAACCTGAGTATGAATATCGTCCGACTTGATGCATGTGATTATGAGATCTTGCAACTGATCTTCGATTTTATCGTCAGCTAATCTTTTGAACAGAAGTGCCATGTTTTCCAATATTAAAGGCATTAGCTGCAAGAAAATTAGCGACTTATTTCTGTGTACCAAAATTGAATATGAATTCATCAGCCTTTTATTCGAAGTACGAAATTGTTTACTTGTGAATAAAAAGAATGCAAAAGTAAGATGAAACATATGAATGTTTTGCAAGCTATTTCTTCCAGCTTCGAACAAAAATTGCGAAGAGATCGAAACCGTTTTTTGTTGCGCATGGTCGACAATCCGTCGCATCCATGGACGTAATTTATGAATATTGTGGCTTTCACAATGATCCAACATATAGAATAATGGCTTCGACAAAGCGGAATACAATTCATGAGAGTCCAACAAATGTTCATTAAAGCGTTGCAGAATACGTGTGAACCATAGATTCTACAACGAAAATAAATTTCATTCGGTTACCACTATCATGGATTGTTATCTACATTATTATTTGTGTTCAGCACATTATTCTTAAATAAAGCAAAATAGATCTGAAACACATTTTAAAAAAAGAAGCGCATATTAACTGCGCACTACCTCCGGTATGCGAGGCAAATTGTTGAAGAGTGTCTGAGACAAGAACAGACTTTTATGAGCTGGGTCGAATTCTTGCGCTATATCATCAAGTTGTCGTAATGTTGATAATATTGGGTCGTCAAAATACTTCAGCTGAAAAAATGGAATCATGTAGTTATACGTAAGCGGTGATGTTGACTAGCACTTTTTCAGCACGATCAACGTACTGAAAAAGACTTTATGAGCTTCTTGTGTATGCTTGTGCTACAGGACTAAATCAAGCGTACCCTAAAACGCACAAAAACATGTTCTGAAGGAGAATTCAAAAAAGAAAAATTCAAATTCAAAACCGGGGAAAAATCCAAAAAAGTCAAATTTTTCAGAAACTGCAATTTCCTGAAAAAAAAACAGGTTGTGAATGCTTTACATTTGTAATATAAGAAAATGAAATAGTACAAGGAAAAAGCAAATTTGAAAAGAATGGACCAGTGCGAGTAACTGAACATTTGGCCGTTGTTCAACGACGAGACTGAGCACTTTCTGCATCGCATCCAACAAGTTTGCACCAAGCTCTTCAGCAATACACTGTAAGGCCGTATCCAGCTGAAAAATCAATTGATCTATGCTATCTTATTGAAAACCTCTCGTGACAAATTCCTCAGCGAATGTTTCGGATTAAGAGTTTTCCAGCAACATAAATAATAATTTGAAGATTAGTAACATAAACAATAATTTCATTACGCTTCACGTTACGAGAATTGTGATGCTATGAGATTTCTTATCATCTTCGTATAGGCATCAAAAATGCAAATACCTCAACTATAAAAAACAACAAAAACAGATCATCCCAGAGAGTGTAAAAATGTGGCTTGAAATACCTGACCACAAACGATCGCATGTGTTTCGATGTTATTTCTCGCGTCGATTAGCTTTTTACCGCCTCAAAAATAGCCATCATGGAGAAACTCGAAATTCTCTACTTCAATTCATCCCAAATTTCATTCGGAAATGAATGTGCTTTGTGAATTTAATGTTGATAAGATTGTCTGATAAGTGAGTCTCAAAAAAAACAAGCGTAATTTACACAGCAATAATACTGCTTTTCAGAGGCATGACTCACGGCTCTGAAACTGTATGTATGAACCGTTCTCTAGAAAACCTCAAAAAATTTGATTCTTTCAGCCAAACTGATTGCAAACCTGTGCATATCCAGCAGATCAGAACACCCAGTGAGAATACATCAGCGGCTGGCGTAACGGTGTGCTGATTAGGTGCCAAGTATTCAGGTGCCAGAAAATCCAACTCCGGTTGCAGATGCGCAGGTAACTTTTTGGTCCATGGAAAGCAAGGAAACAATCCCTATAATTAGTTTACATTCTGAAAGATCAGTGCTCCTCGATCATTTTCAGCCAATCGCCCACCGGTGCTAAGCACCTGCCCAAATGCCCTCCTTTTCCTCCTAGATGCATCAGTATTCAACAGCTCCTCCCACCAAAGCATTTTGAAGAGTTCATGAAGTCTATATGAGTAGTATTCGCTCTTCGGTGGGTAATATTGCCCATGTTGAGAGGCACTACTCCAGTTGATAGCCAAACTTACGCAGTTAGTATCAAATTTTCAAGATATTCATTTCTCGTCTAACTAGATTATGACTGATAAATAAGTAACCGGTTCTTTAGCAGATACAGAAAATGCGAATCCTGCGATCTTCCACAGGCGAGATGCGGTCACATATATAGAACTCGGTGTGAGATTACCATGTAAAACCTTTACACTGTTGTGAAGGTAAGATAGACCGTCGATTATCTGCATATAAAATATCAATGAACGAAACAGCGCAATATTGTTTCCATTCGTCATAATCCATCAATAAATAGCACCTCTTATCTTATCTGAATATCACCTTATCATCTTATCACCTCTGTGCTCAAAGAACTTATCAAAAAATGGGCATTATTGTTTCTGCTGTAACTGTCTGAAAGAGTTTGAAAATCGACGATTGAAACAAATCATATGATGAATTGCAAAGAATTTGATTACTTGAAGGATGCCAAGCCTCATTTCCAGGTTGTCCATTCCTTTATCAGCTACAATTGTTTCAAGATTTGCATGAATGCGTTCTGTAGCGAATGTCAGCATCTCCCTGAATTCACTTTTCGTCAAATTTATAAGATAATTGAATTCCCAAAAGTTTTTAACATTGTTTTTGTCAGCTCTAACAAATGTGTGCAGATTTGTTAGAGCTGACAAAAACATCTAAAATTTGAAACATTTAATTGCATTGTATGCCTTAAACATACTTGACATATCATTAATCTTGAAGATTTGCAGCGATGCCTCAAACTAACAGCGTTCCAGAATTGAATACTTCACTTATGTGAAATTCAACTCGGAATTATGAGAACATCTTAAAGTTTGAGTGTTCCTTCGAATGCGAACGCATAATTTCATCTTCGATAGGGCAGCTCGAAGAATCTCCAAAATCAAAAAGATTTACAAATAGAGTTATGACTGTTTCATAAATCGCAAAATCAACTTGTTCTCTTCGAGTGGATGCAGTACGTGCAATATTCGTGGATGAGCTAATGATGTGAGTTGTGTCACATCATACTTGATTAAATCGACCAGCGTGAGTCGATTGATCCTTCCGATTCGCGGTGGTGCTTTCACGTTGAATTTCTTCTCAAAAATAAATACTGACGCTTCCTGAACATTAAAATATTCAATAGTAATGTTTAACATACATTTCTCTGAGCAAATCTTTGAAGGAGAAAACGATGATTAACTTTTCACGCCGCTTTGATCATTTACTCACGGCAAAGTTCTAGCCATCAGTTGTTGATATTGACTTGTTTTTGGCTATCGAATGCATGGGTTCGTTTGAAAACAAGAATGTATGTGCGACTTTTGAAAAGTATTTGAAAAAAAATATTTTGAAAAGTATTTCCTTGAAGTGCGACCACTAACAAGTTAGTGAACAATCAGCAAGCTTTTGAACTGCATTCACCTTGTGAATATATTATATGAATTCACCTTATCACTGAGGATGCTTTTCGCAGAAAAGAGTTTCCAATGGCCGGACAGTGTACGAAAAGTAAATCGATGGTAATGCTTGTGAAGCGGTGTAATGGCCGGTGTTGGCGGATTAGACGCCGGCGTACACGGTGGCAATGAAGCATACGACTGTTGCCTCAGGGTGATCGTGTTCCAGTTTTCTGTCGTTTTTGAGCCGTTCTACAAATTATTCACATCAATTCCAATTCAAAGTAGCTACTCGCATTACCAGTCAACATCAGTTGATTGAATTTAATGGATGCTTGTATGTAAAGCACTGGCAATTTTTAAAACAACTGACACTCGCAATCGGAATGAGCAATGTTTCATTCCATGGTAGTGATCCCACAATTGATGCATTCATCAACATTTGTATTCAGCATAACCAGCTTTCTATTCCATACTTCGGGAAACTGTTCTATTCTGTTCTATTCCTCCCTTCAGTTTTTCTGCTCCGTTCTGTTCCTCGTCGTTCAAATATTTGAATATTTTTGAAGCCTCATATTTTGAAAGCCGTTCTATTCTCTTCTGTTCCGCTCTTCAACTGTTCTGTTCTATGCTCTTACGCACGCCTTTTTTTGGAACTGTTGCATCCTGTTCCTTCCAACAGAACATGAATAGAACGGTTTGACTGGAATAGAAACAATATTAATCCAGCACAACTAACTGGTCGGTCCTTTCATAATATCTGGACTCTTTCTTAATTCCGTAAACTTGTTCCGTTGCTTTATTGATTTCAAAACAAATCAAACTGTCTACTGATACTGTCTCGTTCCCACATTCTTAGAAATGACCAAGTATAAGTTCTAACTCATTCCACTCACTCTCTTCGCCAAAGCTGTTCTCACTAGTAATGACTATAATATAACCTAGGGTATAGATAACGTTTCAGTTTATAAACCAACATGATAATAAATTTGTTGCCATACCTATTATGAAAAGCGTCCTTGAAGTTTTTGGGATGAAATATCGATGCATCCGACGAAATGCTAATTGATGAAAGACTGGTGAAAAATAATGAAGCAGTTTATGAGCAATGAACCTTGTTATCAGTGCGGTTATAAAACAATTTTCGCATAAATTTCGATAGAGATACTGGTTAACAGCTACTTTCAAGAGCTCCTTTGGATACTTTGAAACAATTAACGAGATTTTGAAGTTCACAAAAATGCCTTACTCGCTTTCTCCAAAACAATAATCGTCAAGTTTGACAAAGAATGTGTTTCATATTGTACATGAAAAGCACACGTTCAAACAATATTCGACAATGGAAAGTCCCTTTACCCAATTGAGAATACCAGTCAGGATTAAATTGAATAATTTTGGGTGGCGCAAATAATTCTGGCATACGCAGAATCTCTCCTAATTTGACAGTTTACACTAAACTTTGTCGTTTTATGAATGCAGCATTTGAGAAAATCAGTCACAGTTCAAACAATATTCGAAAACGGAAAGTCCACCTATGTCAAAAGATATTCTGTGAGAGAGACGTTCTGAAAGAATCTGACATAAAATATCATAGATGCTGAGTTACTGTAATATGGCAATCAAAATAATTTTATCACTATTCATCTGAGGAAGTTTTATGTGTGCAAAAAGAACGGCGTTTCAGTTTATCTAATGTATATGGCATCAGTTTTGCCGAAATCCAAACTGAATGGAACTGCAATATTAAATCTTTGGTCAAACGTTAGAATTGTAACGCAAGGAAAATTTAATATGCTAAATTTTTTGATCACCTAACATTGTAAAATAATTAAGACATAAAAATGTCATAAATATATGTAGGTTCACAAGAATAAGAGCGAATGATATTATTCGAGAGTAAGACATAATCTGAAATTTAACAAATAAGTAAAGAACGCATGTTTCATTGAGATCGATGAATTTCAGATGTTAGTAGGCATTGACTGCGCGCGCAAAATTGCAAGCAACCTGGTTGTTATTTGATGACACCCCAAGAAACGACCAACAATATCGCTGTTCATGAATTTTCTTAATAATAAGCAACTAATTATATCATGTATGCATGTTTCTCAACAGAGCTTCATTGGCATTCATCCGATTAAATTGAATAATTTCAGGTGGCACGAGTAATTCAGACGTATGCAGGATCTCTTCTCATTTGACATTTTACACTAATCTTTGTCGTTATATGAATGCAGCATTTGGGAATATCAGCTAAGTTCAAACAATATTCGAAAGCGGAAAGTCCACTTCTCTGAATTGCATCAGACAGTTGCCTCCCAAGAATGTATTCGTAACTATTTCATTCATAAAATTAATATTTGACATTAAAATTAACATTAACATTAATAAAATAAACATTTGATGATCATCGATTTGCTAGGCCATGATATCGAGTGTCTAAATCAATTTGGTGATAGGGCACATCACTGGAACGCCTGGTAGTGGATAACATGTGACTCCCTGTACCACTGTATTTTTTTGTAATTTGATGAAGAAGTACAGCACGGTCTGTATTGTGAGAATCATTTATCAACTTATCATGATCATTTTTCGCTCCGTTTTCGATCTCGAAGTGGGACAGACTTTCCACTGATTTCCAGTGAAGTTACAGTGATAAGATGCTGAACGAAACGAACGAGGATCAACGAAACAATATTCGAAAGTTCAGTTTGATGGGGTTGCATTCCTAATCAGGAGGAATTCACTGAAAAAATTCCTTCAAAAAATGAGCGATGATTAAGACAAGAGATGAACAAGTTAGACATAAGTTCGATGAATGTATGCAAACAAATAGAATCGCATCATGCAATCATATTTTTGGGGTTACGCAAAAGTAAAACCGCAACAAATGACCAGATTTGTAAGATGATAGCTGTAAATAGATGTTTAGATAGACGCTCAAATGGATGAATGCATGGGCACAAGTCTGGTGTGCACAGCAACGATCAGTATGCACAACCATCATCAAAATTCATTCAATTATAAAATGGTAAATGCCAGTTCAGTATTCCTGCTAGACGTTTCCGTAATTATATCAGTCGCCACTAGTGATGGCAACCGACCGAAGTTCGGTAGAAAAAATCCAATGAGTTTCGGTTAGATGGGGCTGCATTCCCAATTATTCGATTATAAATTTTTCAGCTGGAATTGCAAGATTCGGAATTTCAGAATGTAAATGCGGTCGAATTTAGACTGAAGAATTTTAAAATTTGGTCCGAAGAATTTTAAAATTCGGTCGGAATTCCGAATTTCGCACTGAGCAAGTCAGTTTGAAGTAGCCTCAAATATTTCGTAATTTCTTTAATATATGCCATCGTCGCTCATAAGCAATAGGAATTGACTGAGTGCTTTGGTGTGGCAGAAAAGATCATTGGTCTGGTACGAGAAGAGCGAGTAGTTCATCTCATTTTTATCATTCGGTTGCACTGAAAAATTTTGGTAAGTTTGATTATTATTGCATGTAATGGGGTTTTTGGTTCCTTAATGAATTTTTATGGGCGATGAATTTTTGCGATGAATAATGAATGAATTTTTTCTTGAACTGCTCAGTTGTCTCATAGGTATCTGGTTTGTGCCAATGTGTATTACGCTGTGGTGGATGTGTTGTGGGATTCTAGATTGTTTTGATACTTATAAATTAAATACTTAAGCATGTTGCTGTTTTCAAGCGTCTTCCAAGATTAGATTCGTGGCAATAGTAAGTTCTTGAAGAGGGAAACGGGTAATGACGGCCTGCCACACTATCGAAGGGGGTGATGAAGCTTCCGAGCGTGAGAACCGCTGTTCTAGACTAAGTGATATTTTTTCTTTAGGTACATATAGTGACATACACGTATCACCACAGTCTGCTAGACAAAAGCGCAATACAGACAAGACTAATGATTTTCTTGTGCTTCAACATCAATGATATTGGTACACCACTCGGTTACGAGCGAAACTTTCCTCCGCGAACGGAAATCGAACCCGCGACGTACCAATTACCGGCTGGGGCTCTACCTTTGAGCTCCCACAGAGACCGTTCAGTCTCCGCCGAGTGGTTCTGTTAAGATCGCAATCACTTCTTCAGTAAACATAACGCGAAACTGATCTGATCAGTGTCAAACGCTACAATCGGAGCAAACTGATTTGTACGCGATCACGATAACATAACGAATAATAACAGATAATTGGATAATAGATACAAGCCGGATCCTAGCCTGGTTCAGGCTCACAACATTAATGATATTGGTACACCACTCGGTTCCGAGCAAAAGTTTCGATTTCCGTTCGCGAAGGAAAGTTTTGCTCGAAACCGAGTGGTGTACCAATATCATTAATGTTGTGAGCCTGAGCCAGGCTACAATCCGGCTTATATCTATTATCTAATTATCTGTTATTATTCTTTTGCTTCTTTACACGTGCCTATCAACTGTATCGATTCTCGCATTTTATATCACGAAATACATTTAGCCAGTGCGATAAAATTATCTGAAGAATAGAGAATGGGTAAATTCGAGAGTGGAGATCAAGTTAAGGTATGATAAATTCAGCGTGGTGGTCGATGAGAGGAAGGAGAGCGAGAAAACTGAACGGGAAAAGGAGGTAGGACGTATGTCGGGAAAAACTCGATTCATTATAATATTTTTCAGCAACTCGTGAACATTTTCGTTTCACTTGAGCTTCTTTTATTATTATAAATAGCAATACTCTTCGGTTTGTATGTTCATTCTTTGAATCATTTAAATGAACTTCGCTTTTCATTGGAATATACTATTTTTGTCTTTGGAATTTTTCTATTTGTTGGTTTTTTCTCTATTCTTCAGCTGTTTTTCAAATAGAAAGTTTCTTTTTTGAAATACTTTTTTCAGTTGAAAGATGGGATTTTTCTATGCAAAAGATGTTGTTTTTAACTAAAATTGTTTTCTAGTCAAAGTATTTATTCCTAATTACTGAAGTACGTATCCTTGTCGTCATAATATTCTGATCAATTTTTGATAGGTAGCCTAAAATTGCTGGAATAGTCTTTACAAAAGTGAAAAACATATTACTGGAACACATGTTTCTGAATAGCTGCAGACTTTTCCATCGCGTGAATGCGTAGGGACAAAACTTTCGGATTCCGACCGAAGAATTACGAAATTTGGTCGAAGTTTCGAATTTCGGAATGTTGGGCAGATTCCGACTGAACTAGAATTTTGTTGGGATGTCATCACGACAAACGCATCCAGCCCACCATCCCATTCATCCATTCAGTCATTTGTGTATCCGATAAACGCATTTCTCCATCTACCTATCTGATTTATTCCATTGAAGGAGAATACAATATTGTCAAAAGTAACCTTCAGTCAAGCGAAAACATTTCATTCATATCCTCACCGAAACATTACGTGCGAATTTACCAACACATAATTGTCTCCTCATTCATTTTCGTAGAAATAACAAATTTTCGTGAGATACGAAGAATCAGTCCTTTGGGCATTCGTAAGAAAACTATCAATAATATCCAACTGCCGCTATCAGACCGCTCTCTTCAACGACCGTTGTTGTCATCATAATTGCATATATTTTGAATTTTAGAATGAAAACGACTATTGAGTAAGGATCCGTTTTTTCTTGTTTCTAAATTTAGCGCTTTCTGTAATACTGCATTATGAAATACAACTATCAGTAACAACTGAACTAACAGAGTTTCAGGGCACACGAACAAATGGTATTTATGTTCGGCAATGAAGTTCTGTTCGCAAGGACGGAACGTTTCAAGAACCGATCTCATAGTGGCGTTTGCAATGATGCTTTCAAGCATGCCTCATTTTCATGATAAGTGGTCACCGCATGCAGATGAATGATATTTGTGACTAATAACTTTCGTGTAAATAAGAATCGACGCATATATGTTGAACAAATGAATTGTCATCTGCAATTCAGGGGAAGGTATTTCAGACAGTAAGACTCTTATCATAGGAGTGGAAGAAGACAACGAATGAACATTTGCGGAATCAATTGAAATTGTGGTCAATTCAATGATCGCTTATTTAAGAAAGAATTATTGGCCGCAGAAACGATTGAGGAAAATGAGCGGTAGCAAGTAGAGTTGCAAAGACACTACTGTTACACGCATGTCTCTTTTAA